CCAAATGCAAAAGCTCAATTTTTTTTCTTTGAGAATTTAAAGCAGAAAACCACAGCTAAATACATCTTCCCCACCCTACCCTCAACCTCACAACTGAGAAAAGCACTATGCTCCAGAGACTCCATCAAAAGCTTACGCTATTATATCAACTCCACGGTGCCCAGAAAACAAAAATGCCTGTATACAAAATCTAGATAAACTGTCAGAGCACTGACACGGTCCACAATAGCTCACTGTCAGAAGCTCACCAGAAGGCGCTGTACCAGCTGCTACAGCGCTTCTTGATGAACTCTCCCCAAGCCCAGGGACTGAAAACATGACTAACACAGTCATCCAGCACCATTAGTATTGGTGCTCATCAGAATGGACATTATTCTTGGCTGTGTGTGAACTACTGCTCAATGAGAAATTCTGACAACATCAATTACATTAATAACATCACTATCCATTTCATTCGGAAACAAACAGAAAAAGGCTAAGCAGGCTAAGTAAGGAGTAATTAGAATAATCTGTTCCCTAAATAAAGAATGCTTCAAAGCAGGTTGCTTTGGAAACATTTTAACTTCAATATTAATTTTAGTAAAAATGTACAAACTTTTCTTAAACATATGTCTAAAATTAAATCTGAAAATAATCAAAGGTAATCCTTTAAAATTGGGTTTAAGATTAGTCTATTCCACAGAAACATCTGGTTGAGTTGAGATCTTTTAACCTTGGAAATGAGATTAGAAATCCACTGTTTTTAAATTTAATTTCTAGTTATTTTATCTGGGTCACAGATAATCTGCTCTTGCTTAAATCTAAAACATCAGATAGTCGTCACTGTGATTATCCTGTTACCTTCTACTATCAATAAGAAGACAGGATCTTCCCTCTCAAGTGGAGAGAAATTATTTTATTCCAAGAATAATGGGAAAAAATTACTGAAAATGGATGTGCTGCTTCCCACAGCCTCAATCTAAACCTAAAAAAGACAGCATTTGTTTTGCCTGTTTGTTGTCTAATAGGCCTATATTCAAGTTATGTAATGACATAGTTTATATAATGAAATAATACCCCTACCAGTGTTTTCCCCAAAATGCCTCCTGGTCTTTGGGTGCAGGAATAGGGGAAGGAGGAAGACTTCAGTGGAAGGATTAAATTTACTGTGATTCCTTCTCCTCCTTTTCTTTCTTATGCTACCTAACAAATTCATCACTTCTTTCACATTGTGGGAGATGCATGGATTCAAATTATGACAGAAACATGCCCAGGTGTGAAATTTCCTGTGGATAGTCTGAATTTTTTCATAAAATGAAAACAGCAAGCATACTGTATTTTAAAAAAGTAAGCAAAATCTCTATATTTTTAACTTTAATTAAAATATATTTTATTTTATTTAAATACTAATAATTCATTGGATTTAAAATTAATACTGAGGTTTAACAACCTTAAATAATTAAGCCTTAAAGAGCCTTAAATCAATGTGAGGAAGAGTACACTCTGGAAACCTTAAAAGAATTTTTTTTTTTAATCCAAAAAGAGTGATGCTAGAAGGTCACTATGAAAGCCCAGGTAAATGGAATTGAAATTTGCTGTAATTGTTCAAAGCGCTTGGATTCAAGAGGAAGGAGAGTGAGTAAAGACTGGACTAACAAATGTATACTTTCTCTTAACACTGCATTCTTTTTTGAATGTTTTGCGAATGTATAATTTCTACAGACATCAGAACTGTCTAGTACAGAGTTTTCTGAGAGGGTACAATATGTATACAGAAAGGAACGAAAGTTTTGGAGAAAGCATTATAGAACAAATGTGGTTTCTACTTAGTTTTAGAAATATCAAAACATCAGAACCAACCTCCCCATCTTAAGACAACGAAATGCTGTTCAGTATTATAGCAAAATAAAAAATCCTGCAATTTGAAAAATATTAACATGTTGGCAATATGGAATACAGTCAGAACAGAATCTGATATTACACATCCTTTAAAAACCAAGAAATTCAATAAATAATTTTAGGGTCAACTCAGAAGTGAACACTCAAATTTTAGAGTGGGGATTCTTAAAGATTTTGAAGCTTTTGCTGCCAAACTCCTCTCTCTCAAGCTTCCGAGGCTGCTGGGTGAGAAGGAAATTGCTGCCCCCAGCTATAAACCCCAACAGCCCTTATAAGTAACTTGTACTCTTAGCAGCAATGTCCCAAATGTCCATTTCCAGTCATTCATCATAAGAAATCGAAAAAAATCTGAGAATTCTTATTCCAGGAGATATAAATATATACCAATGATTTTGGTAAATCCAAAAGTGAAAATTCAAAAAATGCAAGTATAATCTGGCAATTCTGACATGACTTACAGACAGACTATAAAGTAATTATGAATTAGTATAAAAGTAGAGAAAAGATTTTAGGTAAAGATCTACTCTCATCTTCACCACTATTATTAATACCATGTTATTTATCATTAGAGAAGTCATAAGATATTAGAAAATATTTCATGCTGAGTAACAAAAATAATTTAAACAGACATTATACAATCCATGAACAGCCAATAAGAACATGAAGGGGAAAAAAATGTAAACAAGCATTTAGCTCTATTAATGATTCACATGGTGAACAATTTGCTGCCTGCAATTTATTTTGATATGTATCAAAACATATAATAGATTGGTAGACACTCTGACATGAGATAAAGCAAGCATTCTAATGTTAATTGTGGTTGGGTATTCACTGTAAAATTCTTTAAAATTTCCTGTGTGTTTAATGTTTTTCTTATAAAACCTAGGGAGGAAAGGTTATTATGAGTACCTTATAAAGTATGCAAACACAGGTTATACAAGAAATATGTTTTCCCTCCATTTCTGACCGCATTCTTCCAGTTTTATTCAGAGGCTAGTCACCACTACCTGTATCTAGCTCCCCACCCCTAGGCAACCACTCATCTCCTTTCTGTTTCTACAGACTTGCCTATTCTGGACATTTCATATAAATGGAATCGCACAAATACAGGGCCTTTCGTGACTGGTCTCTTTCACTTAGCATAACGTTTTCAAGGTTCATCCATGTTATAGCATGTATCAGTCCTTTACTTCTTTTTATGGCAGAATAAGATCCACTATATGGATATTCCACATTTTGTATATCCGTTCATCAGCTAACAGATACCTGGATTGCTCCCAGTTTGGGGTTATTATGTATGAATAATGTTGCTATAAATATTCATGTACAAATATTTGCACGGACATACTTTTCATTTCTCTTGGGAATACACCTAGGAGTGGAACTGCTGAATGAAATGATCATTCCATGTTTAACTGTTTAAAGAACTTCCAGACTGTTATCTGTCTGCACTGTTTTCCATCCCCTCTAGCAGTGTGTGAGGGTTCTGATTCCTCTACGTCCTGACCAACCTTATGTTACCATCTTTTTTTATTACAGCCATCCTAGTGTGTGTGAAGTGCTACCTCATCATGGTTTTGATTTTTATTGCCCTGATAACCAGTGATGTTGAGCATCTTTTCATGTATTTGTTGTCCATTGGTATAACCTCTTTGAACGAATGTGCATTCGTATCTTTTGGCTGTGTTTTCAGTAGGGTTTTTTTTTTAGTACTGAGTTACAGGAGTTCTCTATCCTAGATAGAAAAGCCCCTTATCAGATACAGGATTTATGAATATTTTCTCACATTCCATGAGCTGCCTTTTTACTTTTTTGATCTCGTACTTTGAAGCACAAAAGTTTATAGTTTTATTTATCCACTTTTTTCTTAGTTGTTTGCACTTTTGGTGTCATATCTAAGACATATTTCCTACTCCAAAATTTACTCCTATGTTTTCTTCTAAGAGTTCTATCATTTTAGATCCTCATTTAGGTCTATGATCCATTTTGAGTTAATTTATGTATATGGTGTGAGGTAAGGGTCCAACTTTATTCTTTTGCATGTGTATATCTAGTTATCCCAGGAGCATTTATTGAAAAGACTTTGCTTTCCCCCATTGCATAGTTTTGGCACCCTTGTTGAAAATTAGTTAACCATATTTACATACATATATCTCTGAACTTTCAGTTCTATGTCATTTATCTATATGTGTATCCTTGTGCCAGTAGCACACTTTTTTGATTACTGTTACTTTATAGTAAGTTCCGACAACATTTTTTTCTCACTATACATTGTTTTCACTGAACATATTCTGGTAAACACTTACGCTTACATACACGATACATATGCTATCCATAATATAACAATGGGGATCTTTTATAACATACATGATTATTTACACACGTCAATAAATAGTTTCTACAAAACAAATGTGTAGATGTTGATCAAAATGACTGTGCCTTTTAAGGTTTAATACACACTGACAATTAACCCTTCAAAAAGGCTATGCCAATTTACCCCCATCAATGATGTATTTTTTAAAACCTTAGCCTACATCTTCTACAATGCAGTATATTACCAAACTTTTAAATCCTTACTCAATATAATTTTTCTCACTTTTTGAACTTCTCTGTTGTGATAAATCCCACTTGGTTAATAAATACATGCAAAAATAAATAAATAAGACCCAATCACTAATAAAATGTTTCTAACCAGCACCTCCATTTTTTGGAATTTATCTTAAATAGTCTTAAATTGTTTAAAGAGGAAAAAGAGATGTTCAAAGCAGTGTTATTTGTAATATAGAAAAAAAGATTACACACTAGATGCTGATCAACAGGCAAAGTGTTAATATGGTATATTCACTAAACAGAGTATATCCAACTATTAAAAACTATAAACATGGAGTCTGTAGGCATATAGAAATATGCTAATTTTTAAAAGCAGGATACAAAACTGTATATATACTCTGTACACTGATTGTAACTATGTTAAAATTACACAGGCATATGGAAACGAAAATATATAAATGACTATGTGGTAATTTTCTCCTTTAATTTCTAAACTTGTTGTCACTTCTTAGAATTAAGCTCATAATTAGCGAATGTGTTCATAAATACATTACATTAAAATATATACTTACTGTGATGATGCCAATTAGTTGAGTATAAAAAAGTCCAGTTATTCCAACTAACATAGTAATGCCCATAAAGGCAGCTAGTCTCATTATGGCCAATTCATGTCTAACAACAAAGAGGTCCTATAAGAAGAAGAGAGAAGACAGACTTAAAAACAAATTGAAAAGTTCCTTATAATTGCAATAACAGTCAAGAATTAACCCATAACACTGCCCCTTATTTTCTTAAAAAAAATACTCTCCCCCTTTTGAGTTTATTCCACTTAATCATTATATAAATATTTGAAAATTTCAAAAATAATTGTTTTTAATTCATAGTAGCAAGCCAAAAAATAGGATTTTTACTACTCTTGTGTCGAAAAACCTCAATCCTAAAGTTGCAAATTAGTCACACTGACTTACTGTTTGTAGCAAAAAACAAAAAACAAAACAAAACAGAAACCTCCAAAAAAACCAAACAAAACATATATAATCTTTGGTTACACAAAAGGAAATTTTATTATTATACTGCTAAAGAGTTTGAATGCACAAGCATGATTCATAGTATTAAAGTTCAGGTGACCAAGATACCCAGAGATTATGTGACTTAGTCAAAATAAGGGGGAAATATTAATGATAGGATCGTGTGGACAAGTTCTCTTTAAGCCTACTTCATTCATCCATCCATCCACCCACTCAAACACCACTGCCAAGCACTGCGCTAAGTAATAGAAAAGTAAAAATGAGAAAGATGCGGTCCATACCCTGAAAAAACTGCAGCTTATTTAAAGAGAGAACCCAATTTTATGAAACTCCAAAACAGTGTGATCTATGTTCTACCAGGGATGCATGCAGAAGACTGTGGAAACATCAAGCAATGCCTAGACAGGAAGGAGACATGTAAATGCTGTGAGGGAAAGCTGATTTCCTGTTTCAGGGCATAAAAATGAGTGTCTTGAGGGTGAACCCTAGAAGTGGCGGAAAGACAGGCAAACAAGAAGCATTTCATTTACTCTGTTACCAAGCAGACAGACTAGAGGAGTGAGACGGAGTTCTGGAAACCTACAGCTGCTAAACTCTGCAATAATACTTCCACAGTGGACAGAAGCAACAGATGAATGGGAAGGACCCCCAACACATAACCACCCACATGCTTTTTTAACAGTGATTCTGGTTAAGGCTTAAAGGTATCCTGGTAGCAAATTCAAAAATAGGGAGGTCACCGAACATAATGAGCTTGCTTAAAACAAAAGAACTGATGCTTTTCGATGTATCACAGTGACCACCCCCCAGACTCAAGCAGAAATCTGAGCGTACACCCAAACCACTCAATTCATTGGCTTGGAAAAACTTAAACTCCACCAAGACACTTACGGTGCTGTATAGCAGTTAGATATTAGGCAGTCATTTCAAATGCTCAGTGAAAAGAGCCTAACACAGAGTCCTTACCAATCATGTAAAGATGAAAAGATGGAGCTATGCATGATACAAGAAATTAAGTGCAGAATGGAGCACTGGGTGTTATACGCAAACAAGGAATCATGGAACACTACATCAGAAACTAATGATGTGATGTATGGTGATTAACATAATTTAAAAAAGTTAAAAAAAAAATTCAGTGCATGGGCGCCTGGGTGGCTCAGTTGGTTAAGCGACTGCCTTCGGCTCAGGTCATGATCCTGGAGTCCCGGGATCGAGTCCCACGTCGGGCTCCCTGCTCAGCAGGGAGTCTGCTTCTCCCTCTGACCCTCCCCCCTCTCATGTTCACTCTCTCTCTAATAAATAAATAAAATCTTTAAAAAAAAAAAATTCAGTGCAGTACGTTCCGCTATAATGCTGTTTGAAAACACAAATTTGTTCCAACGTGGTCCATACACGAAACAACTTGAGCATAGCAAGAATTCTGTGTTTGCTTACTGTGATTTCATCCGCGAGAAACCCTAGATGAACATGGAAAACTGCACCCAGCTAAATTAAGGCCTATGGGAATACACAAAACACATGCGTACACCCGAACACCTACTGACTACCACAACTGATCCTGTGTTAGAAGCCTCACTCATCCACATCTGCTATTACACCTTTCCGATTTCAGATGACTGTCCTTCTGTTACTTCTCAGCGGGTCACTTACTGTAACCCATCTCATGCCCACTGCCACAACAACATGGCAGGTCTCTTTTAAGATAAAGTGTCAAGTTTGGTATCGTATTTATGTATTTCTTAACTATTTAACATGTGTGAAACCGTGCTGATTGTATTAGGTTCTGACCCTTCTGAGTGTCACTGACAAAATTTCTGAGTGTTGTGCCTTCATCTTCCCATAAGCTCGGTGGTTTTCACTGCATGATTTTGTAGAGTAGGGTGAATTTCAGAAGTGTACATATGGGGGGGTGCCTGGGTGGCTCAGGCGTTAAGCGTCCGCCTTCGGCTCAGGTCATGATGCCGGGGTCCTGGGATCAAGCCCCGCATCGGGCTCCCTGCTCAGCGGGAAGCCTGCTTCTCCCTCTCCCACTCCCCCTGCTTGGGTTCTCTCTCTCGCTGTGTCTCTGTCAAATAAATAAATAAAATCTTTAAAAAAAAAAAAAAAGAACAGAAATGCACATATGGTGTAATAGTAGAGCTTGGTGTAGAAAATATACCATATATGACGAAATAAAAAGCATCTTCTCTTCTCCCAGTGAAAAGCTTTTTTAAACAAATTTTGCCACCTAGAATTTATAAATGTTGGGGATGATGAGACTGTAAGATCTAATTCTAATATTACATTTATTCACCTGGTTGCACACTTATATTTAAGAGTATTCATGTAAAACAGTAAAATACTTTGAGAAATTTCTTTTTATCACTCTTAATGTTTTCAAAACACAACTGCATTCCAAGATTACACACACATATTTAACATCTTTAGTACTAAATCCAAATCTTGGTCATTTAGCAAAGTTCTTCAGAGCAAAACATCTTCACTTTAGATTTTTTTTGACTTAGCACTTTTGGGATCTAAAGATTCGCTTGGAAAACTTTATCCAAATCACAAGAACCCTTTTGCTATTCGAGATCTTTCCTACATATTCAGTGTTATGGCTGAATGTGTCTCCTCCAAAATCCATTATGTTGAAGTCCTCATTCCTAGTACCTCAGAATGTGACCGTATTTGGAGACAGGGCCTTTAAGGAGGAGACTAAGTTAAAACAAGTCCCTTAGGGCTGGCACTAATCCAATCTGACTGGTGTCCCTATTAGAGGACACTGAGAAACACAGACACAGCTCAAGCACAGAGGAAAGACCATGTGAGGACACAGTGACAAGGTGGCCCATCTGCAAGCCTAGGACAAAGGCGTCCAGAGAAACCCAACCTGCTGACTTGCTCTTCGACTTCCAGCGTCCAGCACCACGAGAAAATGAGTTTCTGTTGTGTAAGCCTTCCAATCTGTAGCATTTTGTTATGGCAGCCCTAGCAAATGGATATAACAACTGTATTCCTTTATCGTTTTCATTTTCCCCATTTCTTGTTAAGAAATGTGCTTATATCCAGGAAATACATAAGATGTAAGTTCAGTTTAGAGAAAAGTAACACCACCCTCTCAAGAATGAGAACATTTGACAGCATACAGAGCTTCATCTGTGCATTCCTTCCCCATCACATTCTCTCCCTCATCCCTACCCTGAAGGTAAAGGTACTGACTCATTCTTCATACCATTTGGATACTACCAAGTTTTAGTTGTATATTGCAGATACCTTCTACTCTGAATCTACCTTTTCACTTTCTTTATGGCATATTTTGATAACTCCAAGGGCTTCCATTTAATGTAGACCAATTTATCAATCTTTTCCTTTAGTGCTTTTTATTTCCTCTTTAAAAAAGACTTTCCCAATCCTGAGGTAATAATGGCATTCTTCTATATTATCATCCAAAGCCTTTAAAAGCTCTGTAGCTTTGACTTTCAGATTTAAGTCACTAATCCACCTGGAATTGATGTTTATTCTTTTTGTGCACAGTGAAATATAAGGGTCTGAATTTACTTTTATTATATGGATATCCATTTGTATTTCCTGAAAAATTTTAATTAGTCTTTCAAGTTACAGTACACAATCAGATACACACACACACACACATATTTTCTCTATTAAGCTTCATATTTTTCCCCCAGAGGTCTTATACTTTTTTGGCCATATTTAATTCAGGAACTTCCTGTTTCTTGATTCTATTATAAATGGTTTTGCTATTAATTTCATTGTCTAAACGGCTGTCAGCATACACATGATTTTTTTTTTCTAATCTGTTAATTTGGTAACAACACTGATTTTCTAATGTAAAAACTGCCTTTCGTGTCTAAGATAAACTCAACTTGATCAGGCTGGTTACATATATACCCAGATTCAGTTTGCCAATATTTTGTGTAAAAATTGTTTATCTATGTTCATAATCAGACTATAGTTTCCTTTCATTCTTCATTATCTTTGATAGGTTATGTATTCAACATATGCTGTACACATAAAATGAGTTGCGGAGGGTTCCCTCTTTTTCTGTTCTTTTTAAAAGAGTTTGTATAAGACTAGAATTATTTTTTCCTTTCATATTTGATAGAGCCAGAACTCACTGGTAAATCTGTGAATATGCTTTGCAGAAGTTTTAACTACTCACTCATGGTTATAGAACTCATCCTGTTTCCAATTCCTTCCTGAAGCAATTTTCTTCTTAGAGCTATATTATGCTTACAATCAGGAAACTCAGTACTGTTAAAGATATTCAACTCTCCAAACTGATGTATAAAATTAATACAATCCCAATAAAAATCCCCCACCAGCACAGCATATAGTCTACTGATAGCAGTTTCTTTTTAATTTTACTTTGTTTTGATTTGTACAAATTGCTAAGTAAGCTGTTTCTAAATTTCATAGGAACAAACAAAACACAATGAATACCATACCACTCCTATATAAAAAGAAAAAGGTGGGAGGGTTTGGCTTACTGCATGCATTCTCAATATAGGTAATATGGCCCCCAAGGAGGGAGAAAATTGGTTCTTCCCGGGGGAAAAAAAATCACCTCTTTCAATAGTTTTGTGGCCATACACAAATCAATTCTACCTGACAAAATCTTACTCCTTAGTATTTAATTTCATAGAGGGAAGGGGAAAAAA